TCTCCGAATGTGTTGTTTTCCCACCAGACCTTGCCCATGGGTAACACAGCTTTCAGTTGATAAGTATCAGCCTTCATAGTTTTCCAAAAGTGCATGTGCTGAAATTCACCCCTCAAGCAGGCTAATAATCTACTAATCTGTTTCCCAACAGTGAATTGGGACTCATGCATTGAATGCATATGGGGCACTTACTGATGATCCTCTAACTTGTTTGTGTTTGTTTTTTTTTCTCCTGACAATTTTTTTTGCTGTCCTTTTAAAAAAAAAAAATAAAAAAAAAGCTGCCTACTACATTCAGCATAGACAACAATTTATCTTCCCAGGTGAGTTGATTGTTTTAATGCTACTAACCAGCTTCTGCTGCCAAAAAGTAACTTGTTTGTAAACTTTTGCATGCTGCCCAGAACAATGATTCTGCTTAAAAAACAAAAGTATCTAAACCAATTAAAACTTTCTCTTATCTCAGTATATAATTTAGACCTCTCTCTCCTAATACAAGGTGGTGATGTGATTTATTTACTGAGGTAGATCTTTGAATATTCAGTTGTAAACCAGTAGCTTTCTGCTGGGGAATTCTCCTTCTTCGGAAAGGCTCGCTTTTGGGGTTATATGCTTAGCCAGGATAAATGGACCCTGCCAGTCAGGAACGCTGAGCTCACCTTATGAACCGAGGCTCTCGCCTGTGGGGTTTAAGAATTTGCATGTACAAACTCTTTTTGTCAGTCAAGTGTTCAGCTTGTCAACTTAGAAACAGCTTGTTTGTTTCCAGAGTGAGAACTGATGATGTAGGATGCCAGGTACAGAGTAGTCACTCTGAATTTTGGAAGGATTTGCAACCCAGACTGAATTTCCAGTGTGCTGTTGGAATACATGAGCTGCAGAACAGATGAATTCAAACGTCCTAGTTGTGTGGGGATTCACTTATTTCTGATTGTCCAAAGCAACCTGCAGACATGTGAGCAGTTCACAGACAAGGACTGACTTTGAAAGACATTACAGATAAGTAGGGGAGTGGAAGGGGAGACAAGGGAAGAAGACTGGGCTTGGCCAGTATACAGGCGTGTAACTACTAGGAAAGATGAGCATGGTTTTAAATGAATAGAAGTGTCAAACTGTATGGTCTGGGGTTGAGTTTACTTTATAATTCCTGAATAAAAAGCAAATAATCACTATTGCAATGTTAAAACCTCCAATCTAGAAGAGATGAAAGTGTACAATGTGTATCATAAATGTTTCTACTTCCCCAGAAATTCCCAGTCCTGCACAGACAGCACATCCTCCAGAAACAGCTGCAGACACTAAGTAAGTATAGTTTTAAAAATTCTTTTTTTTGCATGGTGTTTACCCGATAATCTTCAGATCAGTCTGAAAGCACCGTGTTATGGCCAAAACTGAACTTATCACCTGAGAACTCACATAATTTTGGTCAGCAAGGGTGATACGGGTGTTCCTGGCTGCATAAAGCTGGACATACTAGTTACTTCAAATGGGACAATAAGAAGTGCGTGCCTTAAACATTTATTTCCAGTTACGTGTGCGTTCCTGAGATCACAAGGGTCTGATGAAGTGGAGTGTTGTGATTAAAAGAGCATGGCACACTTAGCTGCAAGCAAACATCTGTTTAAGGATCCGAGTTGTAGGGCGTGCACAAGAGTTTGGGCTGCCTTGCCAGTACTCCCAGCTGCTGCTCCTCGGGGGGTGTGTCGGTAGTAGGAATAGAGCATCCGTTACTGGAGCACATTGTCATACTGCAGCCATGCCACTGACAAATCAGTTCCTACCACTTAATCGCTGACAATCACGTCCAAGTCTTTGTCCTTCGTTTGCTACAGTAAGTAGCACTTACAAAGTGCTTGTCTGTTAAGTGGAGCAATAACTACATTTTTCTCTGACCTGCTGTGATGCTATCGAGATCTGTTCTCCACTTGCTTCCTTCCACTCCACTTTAGCCATGCGTAGCAGCCCACTTTTCTGACTCGGGCAGATGTGCAGACATGATTTTCACTGTGAATCTGTCTTCCCTTGTCAGTGCTCATCAACAGCCAGACACAGATGGAGTCGAATGTGAAGCAGAGGTACGTTTTCTGGTTTGCCCTTTCGTACCACCAGAAATGCCATGTTGAAAGTGCAATAAAAACGTTGTGGCCCTGGCATTGTAAGTGTAGACTGGCTGTGCCTCACCTCAGTTCCACTGAATGGTTTGTACTCAGAGATCTCAACTGAGAATTCATGGTTTCTGTAGCTAGGCTAAAACAATAAGCACTTGTAACAATAATGAACTTTTTCTAATCGGACTAAGATGATATTTTTTGACCTTCTGGCTCACTCAGTTTGGCGCAGCCATTTTTACATTCCAAGAGCTGCAGGCCTGCTGCTGGAGTTGGGAGGGCTAAATGCTCTGCAGACCGTGTGAAGGTGCTACCCCTGGTCACGTAAGCCCATGCTGACAGGCTTGGCTTTGCAGGATCTGCTATGGATAGGGAAGCCTTTCCGTGCCTACCTGCAAGACTCTGATTTTGGTAGTGCACATGTTCAGCTTGTAGTGGGAACACTGAAATGGTTTCTGTAGGGATGAGTAAACCTATGGAAAGAGAATCGATGATTTCAGCAGAAATTACTGGAATTTGGATCAAGCTTGCTGATTTTTGGAACATTTCTCCCTAAGAGGAGAATTTCAGTAACTGCAAAAAAAAACCCACAAAACCAAAACACTACCCACGTTTATTTGAAGAACAAAGGGATTCTTGACCCTTCCTTTTAGAATCATCTGTAGCATTTTTCCCACTCTGAAGGCTGAATCCTGACAGATGTTAGTGCTGGTTCTACAAATTTAACTCTATATGGGATAAAGCCTTTCTTGTCTTCACTCACATGCACTGACGTACAGATGATGTACGTCTTTCTGCAGCCTTTGAGATGACCTTGTCCTGTGAGGTTGTATTTCTAGAACTGTAGTCACTAGGTACATCCAACCTCCTGAAGCTCTCTCAAAGCAGCCTTTGCTGCGGGCTGCTCGGCTGCTCCTGGCCCTCAGATGGGACTCTTGGCGCATGTTTCCCTTCTCCTATTGTAAACAGGTGGAAGAAGCAGAGACTAATAAATCAGAACCCGAAGATGATGAGGATGAGGTGGAAGATTTGCCAAACAGACGGCCACACTTGCAAGGGATGATCTATCGCAACCCCAGCCAGACCAGCGTCTACCTGCAAGAGTGGGACATTCCCTTTGAACAGATTGAACTGGGGGACCCCATTGGCCAGGGACGATGGGGGAAGGTTTACAAGGGCAAGTGGCACGGGGAAGTGGCCATCAGGCTCTTGGAGATAGATGGGAACAATCAGGATCATCTCAAGCTCTTTAAAAAGGAGGTGATGAACTACAGACAGACCCGGCATGAGAACGTGGTACTTTTCATGGGAGCATGCATGAACCCTCCTCATTTAGCAATCATCACCAGGTAAGGAGATAGCATCTTACTATTATTCTTCTATAGAAATATATATAAAATATAATATATAGATAATATTTTTTTATGTATATAAAAATAAACCTCTCACTGTAGTCAGGAGGTGGCAGACATGAATGTAGTCTGTTGCTCAGAGTTTTGGATGCTAGGGTTTTCTCCTTTTAGGGAACATACAATATTTTTTGGCAATTTCCTTTTTATTTTTGAATTCTTAAATACTAAAATTTGAAAAGCAGGAGGGAAAAAAATCTGGAAAAGGCCGTTCCTCTGTTGTCTACTTCCAGATGGTTCCAACTCAGTGAAGTGACAATAAACCAGTGTGTGAGGTTGATAACGCAACAGTTACCTCTTCCTTTTGGTTCCTCTTAGGGACACTTGCTGATAGGGAAAAATGTTACTAATTTTCTCCCCTCTTCCCTTTTCAGTATTTAGTTGAGATGAGGACCATTTAGCCCCTAAACAACAGCTTTTTGGGATGTTCATGTGCAGGCTGAATTTAAGGCCAAGGCCGTGTTGTTGTCATAGTCTGGCAAGGAAGTACTCAGTCATTTCTAATTGCCAGTTCCAGAAGGAAGTTTCCTGCTTAAGTGACCAGTAGCACCAGCAGCAGAAGCTGGCGCTCAGATTTTGGAAACTGGACTTCAGATGTCAGAGCAGCAGAGCAACAACTGAGTCTCTGAAGAAACATAAGCTTTTGTTGCATCTCCTCGAGCATGCTTTAACAATAGGACTCCTGTACATGTGTACGCCCACACAGATGTAAATCAACTGGGTCCTTAAAGTTCTTCAAAATGGCATTTCTCAGCAGTGGAAGAGCACTGGGATTCTGTCGACATGATAGGAAAACCAACTGAACATCCAGTGTTAGATTTTTATTTTCTTCCAGTATTTTAAAGACGTTTTTCTGAATTGTCATTCCTCTTTTCTGTAGCTTCTGCAAAGGAAGGACACTTCACTCCTTTGTGAGGGACCCCAAGATATCCCTGGATATTAACAAAACCAGGCAGATAGCACAGGAGATCATTAAGGTAAGAGTATGTCTCGCCAACGGAGCTTCCCCTTCCTGGGAAGTGCCTCAGCGAGAGCTCCGCGGCTGGAGAGGTTCTCTGTCCCAGTAGCGCAGGAGATGCTCCAAGTTGGCTGGAAAAAGCGCTGGTTTAGTAGGCAGTAAGCTGAGGGCCTGCAAGGAGAGAAACGGACCTTTTGCTTGTCGGTGAGGGGCTGGGGAGGGAGAAGTGAGCTGAAAGGAACAAGGAAGGAAGGCAGGCGGGACTGGTTTCCTGCCCGGCCTCTTCTCTTCCGTGGCAACTGCAGCCGAGTTAACGCATTCCGAAGTAGATGGCATTTTCTCCCGGATTTGCACAGTTTTCTGTGCTTACTTTCCATTTTACTCAACTGAAGAAGCATTTCTGAAGCTGCTCTTTTCTTTTCTGGCAGAAATACCCTGTGAATTTAGCGAGCGAACTTGTGTCAGTTGTTCATTGTTCTTACACACAGAGACTTTTTCAGAATTGGGAAGTCCGCAGCCACTTCGTACTTCAACTAAGAGTGCCCTCCCAGCAGCCCTCCTTCGCAGAGGGTGAAAAGCAATTCAGAGGTTGTGCGCTAAACGAAGATCTGCTCCCTGGCACCCTTCCTGCAGCAGGCAGCTGCCGTGTCCCCACTTAATCATTTATTCTGGAGTAATGAGAGGAAACGTGTACAAGAAAGCAAAGCACACCCAGAGTTAGAGGCTTGTAAAGGATAAAGTTTACATGTCTGCACGTATTTATTTCGCAGGGCATGGGGTATCTTCACGCAAAGGGGATTGTGCATAAGGATCTGAAATCCAAGAATGTTTTCTATGACAATGGGAAAGTTGTGATCACTGATTTTGGATTATTTGGAATTTCGGGAGTGGTTCAGGAAGGAAGGTAAGTAGAGGTTTCAGTGCTTGGTCTCCTTCTAGAATGATCAAGAATGATCTAAGGGGAAACGTTTTGATGCGTTATACAGTACAGACAAGGAGTATTTATTGCTTTAGTACATACACATATTTTTGGAATACACGCTGTTTCTTTGTTTTCTTCTTTTAAGCAGAGTTTTTTCTACAGTCCCGGTAGCACAGAGCTAGAGAGTTATGTGTGGATTAAGACTCAGAACAATCAAAATTTTAAGCCCACGAATGAGCTAGAGATGCATATTTTTTTAATATGGCAAGAAAATTAGAAACCAAATGTCAGCGAAAACATTTGAGTAAATAAAGTGAAGGCATTAGGTGAAGCACAGATACAATCCACACGCTGCTTCTTGGCTGAAGCGTTTCAGTACCACTTCTTTCTTTTCAACTCAGGAGGGAGAACGAATTGAAGCTGCCTCATGACTGGCTGTGCTACCTGGCCCCTGAGATTGTTCGTGAGATGGCCCCTGGGAAAGATGAAGACAAGCTGCCTTTCTCCAAAGCTGCAGATATCTATGCCTTTGGGTAAGGAAGGAACACCTAGGAGTACCCCAGGAGCTTGCTAAATGAGATTTGTCACAGACCTAAGCCTTGTGAGTCAGTGATCCTCCCCTCACAGACTTGGGATTCCAGCTGAGATGCGTTTATCTCACCTACTGTGAAAGTCATGGGTGGGAGGGATTTTCTGCACAGGCTCATACACCTTCCAGAGCTTACCTGAAGAAACTGGAACAGAGTCAGGGTTTTGTCTCTTTCTCTTAAGAGTGGACAAAGGCTGGATTTGTCTCTTGATGTTGCAGGACTGTGTGGTATGAGCTCCAAGCAAGAGAATGGCCCTTCAAGAACCAGCCTGCAGAGGCACTCATCTGGCAGATTGGGAGTGGCGAAGGAGTGAAACAAGTCCTTGCAACTGTCAGTTTGGGGAAGGAAGTCAACGTAAGTACCTCGGTTGCAGGAGTCCTTCCATATAACTATTTAGCAGGAAGAGATGGAGCTGCTTACAGAGATTTATTTTACTCTTATTAGAGCTCTAAAGATAAAGGGCAGGAGAGAACTGGCTAGAACGTGACACCAGGTTAGATCCTAAGCCTCTGCCTGTAGCTGTCACAGAAGTGGCCATCCACCGGTACGCAGGATGCTGTTTGACTCTAAGCATGTCCAAGACCTCTGTTAAACAGTATCTCTGGCTGGGCTCGCACGAATCACAGTGCCCCATCAGGTACCCGATCTGCACACTTGACCTGTGAACCAAGTGGAGCTCACGAGCCACAAATATTCCTTGCAGGAAATTCTCTCAGCGTGCTGGTCGTTTGATCTCGGTGAGAGACCCAGCTTCACCGTCCTCATGGATATGCTTGAAAAACTGCCAAAACTGAATCGTCGGCTCTCCCACCCAGGGCATTTCTGGAAGTCTGCTGAGTGAGTATTGCTGCTGTTAGGACATTTCTGCCGCTCAGGATCTGTGCTTTGTTTTGCCTTCCTGGGAGCTGTCAAACTCTGACAGGAGCGTAACAGTGTGCTGTTCTGCTTTCCTAGTTACCAGGAAATTATGCAATTAAGCTTGTGCGCTTCAGACAGTTAATCTCCTACTTTAACGTATTCGCGTCCCTCCTTCAGTAGATTACTTATCCAGCTGTATGTTTGGTTTCGGAGAGTATCGACCAGCAGGATTGGGAAGGGCCCACCCTGCCCCCAGAGTGGTTAGAATTTACCCTGTTGTGGCTGGTACTGTGCGGTATGAGCTCCAAGGAAGGGAAGGATCAAAGAACGTACCGCCGTTTCCCTTGGAAACTGAATGGTCAAATTTTGGAGGAGTCCTATGTTTGTAGCCTTCCTCAAGGAGCATGTAGGAAAAAAAAAATCCAACCCCCTCCTCCTCGTTATGGAAGAGTGCCCCGTTTGACCAAGCAGATAAAGAAATGCAGCATTAGTCCTGACTCAGAATAATTGACTGCTGGGGAAAAACCAAAGTAGGTGGTAATCATGGGGTGAGTGATTTAGAAATCCTGACAATGCAATAACTGACAGCTTAGGGACAAGTTGCAGTGTTTGGACTGAATCTCTAAATTGGAATTATGTCAAGATTTGGACCAAGGAAAGATAAATCATGAGAATTCAGCATAAATCCTTGTCAGATTTGGTACTTTCGAAGTCACGTTCTGTGTTGCAATGGGGCAAGAAAGGTCTCATACGATCAAGCATCTGTAAACTGTCAAAACTGGAAAAAGTCCCTCAAAACACCTGATTGTACATCCCATGACATCGGTTATGACAGACCAGACCAGAATATAAAACTCATTCCAGTTTAGACTGGATTAGCACAAAGCCACAAGGCCTAAAACTTTCAGCCTCCCTTCTCATGGCTAACGTGTCCCTCTCAGAGAGGGATGGGTCCCAGTTCCACTTCTACCAAACCCAAGTGGAAGCAAAGCAGATCAAATTTCTGGAGCCTGGAGAAAAACCCCCACCCCAGACCAGTTCATGTCAGTTGTCTCATCTCTGCTGTTACCCCAAGTAGCTCCAGTGGACTCCAGTGAATAGGCTGGGCCCGCAAGCCCGGTGGCAGCCAGCCACCCAGCTTCAGGAACACGCTTAGAGCTTCTGTTAGGCATAAGGCTACGTTTGGTGACCTCAGTGTTTTTCCTCAAAGTCTGGAGGAGATCAGGCGTGTTTGTGACCAGTGCCCATTTACCATGTACTTTGCTCACTGTTTATTTTCCTTTACTGAACCTCTCGTATTTATTTTCTCTTTTTTCTCCTTTTTTGGTGTTTAATCTACCCCTTTCTTTCCTATAACTCTGCGTGATCTTCCTGTCATACCTTGTGGGAACTAACCCAACGCTTCTGTTTGCTTGAACGGCGACTGTCGCGGCATTCTGGGCTTTGGTGGGTGTTGGGTTGAAAATTTGTCTCTTGTGCAATCTCCCTAACGTTTGTACTGGATCCCTGATACATTGCAATATCTAACAACGTCAAAACGTGGAATGCTTCTCCAAGATTGGCCTCATCTTGACACAAAAGGACACTATTACCATCAAAGACTGAATGCCCACTGCCCACTCACCGATAAGTAGAGCTGTCAGATGTTTTTCCCTCACACTGGCCAGGTGTATCTGCGTATGGCAGCACTCATTTTAAAAAGGTACAGCAAAGGGTGGAGACAGCCGTAACATCTGGCCGTGGTTCTTTGCCCCATGGGTGACTGCCTCTGCGCGGTGACACGTAGCTGGGAGGCGAAGGTGTGTACCTGCACCCTGAACGCTCACTACTCTCACAGTTACACTTCAGTCTGTGTGATTTCAATTGTCTAGGTTTTTAAAATAAAAATTTAAAGAGAAACCAACAAATCAGAGCGAAAAAATGTACCTGCCTGTAATTGCTGCTGCTTATCTGTCCTTCAGTCATCATTTAAGAGAAATGATTATTTTTTCCCTCTTCTGGCCTAAAGCGTACCAAACCCTGTTTCCAGGCACAGTTTGCCTTGGCCAGATCTATACCCACCTACTTTTAGTGTGAGCTTTTCAGCTCCATTATCCATCACTTCAAGTCATCCAGCTTCACTGTGACATTTTCTCCCATTTTTTTTTAAACTAGTCCTCCTCTGCATCACAGGAAGACCATTGTATTTAAGTCATGTTAAGTTATGAAGGCAGCAGGGGTTTTTGGCTAGGAGATTTGCACGGTCCAGCAGTGTCCTTTGGTAATGTTTTTTCCTTTCTACAGAAACACACCATGCTCCAGCACTGTGGTTCTGTGTGTCACCACTCATGCTCTCATTTCTCTATGCAGTAAGACCCACTTGTGTTGGATCATTGCCTCTGGTGACTGATTCGACATCTCTCCACCTCCCTAGCCAGCCACCAGAGCAAACTGAGAGCCCAGGCTGCCCACACGTTCCCGTGCAGACAACCACACTCTCTTTGTCCTCTAACGTCACACTGGAAATGAACCTGAAGTAACGCTTCCCATTTGGGCAGTCAGCTCATGAGAATGCTCAATTCCAGAGCAATTTGCCAAGTGATTATTTTGGATTAGTGTTTCCATAGGGAGTTATTCTTGAACAGCTTGTGGAGCTGCGGAACGCTGTTTTATGTAGCAGCTACCCTAATTATTTTTCCCTGGGCAGACGGACCGACACCCCCCTCCACCCCCACAAGTGGTTCATGTCAATTTGCATACATTAATACTTTTTCTCTGCTCAAAGCATTTACTAGAGGAGAAGTACTTCAAGTGTCAGTATTAATTACCAGCATTGACAGCTGAATTAGTGCTTATTGAGACCAAAGTGCAGGCAGCTCAGCTGTCGTTCGTGCCCTGGCTCCCTGTAGCTGTGCCAGCCAGAGACCTACTGGGATGCAAAACCCACTAAAGACATGTTCAGGTCCCCTCTGAAAAATCTTTGAGAAACGTTGCACTAACTCCGTGCTTAATTCTGTGAAAGCTTTAGAAGATGTATTTCTCAAGGGCTTGCTTTAAATAACTGAAAACTAACTCTCATGGTGTCTTTTTCCCTTCCCTCCCACGTTTCTTTGTAGGTTATAGCTACTGGTGCAATAACGGGCTCCACCTTGCATGCTTCCATGTGTTGTATCCTAACCGGCAACTTGGACAATCACCTTCCATTTAAAAAAGCAAAAACAAACCACAAAATTAACCCACGGACATAATCAACACCTTATCCGAATTCTCCTTTTCTGCCTTTTTCTGCTTGGTGTGGGCTGTTAGCTTGAATAACACCTCCTGTCTGCAAGAAGTTACTGTCTAACAACATGGCCACCTTCCACTCTCGAGGCATTTCAGCATCTGTCACTTCGCCCCGGAAAGCGCTGGGCGATCTGCTCTCTGACTAACAGGTGCAAGCAGCAGCGAGCTCTCCGCGTCCTGCCCAGCGCGGTGGGGCTTTGCTGACGCGGTGTGACCTGCCCGCCAGTCCCACGGGCAGAGGGGTGCAGGTTCCTGGTTGCAGCCTGACGTTGTGCCAGGTGTCCTGAGTGCTGGACTGTGGCTTTGTGCCTGAAGGTTCATTTGCGCAGGCACAGCTGATGCCTGAACGCTCCGTGTGCATTGCAAACCAAGGAGAGTTAAGGACCAGACTGTGCTGGTTCTCCGTTGGGACCAGAACCAGCACTGAAGCCAGGGTCAATTTTATCAGGGGCTGGAAGAAGCTGGTGCAGTTTTTGAGTGGCAAGAAGGACAGTCCTTGCTCTGCTCGGAGCGGGGTGCAGTCCTGTAGCCTACAGGGACCCAGGCACAAGTGGTGTCCAGAAGCGGCCCCTGGGAGTTGGCTGGGTGAAAGAGGAGGGAAGCAAGAGGGTCCTTCAGTTCCTCCTCCCCTGGCACATCTAGCGCTTTGAATTCTGTGATTTGCTTCTGCTTGCATCCCCTGTTCAGCAAAATATCTGACTTCACACTAGGGGCTTTGCAGAACTGTAGGTAACACAGCAAATACGTGCCTTTTTAGAAAAGGTCTTCTTTTCACTCTTTACCGATTCATGATTTTGAAAAAATATCTTATTTGAGGGGAGAGGGTAGGGACAGAGGAGAATATGCACCAGGAACCAGGGAGGCTTCTAGTGTCTTCAGTGAGGACAAATGCACCCACTTACTCTCAGAGTAAGAGCTCACCTGCCTTGCTGCCACCTGAGTGCATGTGTGTAGGAAGGCATTTTGAAGTGAAGATGTTTCTGGCTGTGCTAACAGTCTAAGGGTGAAGGAGAAGACATCTTTATGCACCTGCTACAGTCTATAAAGAGAAGCAAATGGGTTGGGTTTGGTTTTTGTTTGTTTGGATTTTTTACACCAATTGATGTATCTTGTCAAAATACCTCTTTATCTTAAAAAGAAAATTCTGTAAGTCATTTTTTCCTTCCTTTCTACTTCAAGGAAACCAAGTGCCCATTGAAAACAAGCGTTGGGCTTCTGCCCACCTTAGGTACTCACAAAAGCCTCCTGTTTCTCCAATTTGAGGCAAATCAGATTTGTGCTGTATGTTTCCACTGGTGAGGTTAGCGTGAATAAGTTCATGTGTTTGCTGCTTAATTACTTAAGCCTCTTTTCTGGGTCATCTGAAGTTGGACGAGATCAGAATCTAACCCATTTGGTTCCTTTTA